AATTATGTTTATGGCTACTCTTGGTAATAAGTAAAATTTAGTTTCCTTTTACATTAATTTCATATCAAATCGATTTAATTTTCCTACGTTTATATTTATATTTATATTACAATACTTTACATCTTAATATTCAAACTTGTATTAGAAAAATTAAAGAAATTAGGAAGAAAAACAAATTTATGTTACACAAACTCGTATTTTAAAAAATCATCCAAATATCTAGAAAGTTGTGAATTTGTAGAATTTCTCCGAGAAGTTATAAATTGGTTGTTCTGACCATTTTGATAGTTCAAGTAAGAGCATCAATATTTTTAGTAAACCTAGTACTGTTGCATTTGATCGAAAATTTAATATCAGGAATGTGCCAATTATTAGGTAACCACTTTGTTGTTGAAAATATTCTTACATATTTTTACATGATCGACTTTTTATCATTGTAATTAAATATAATTATATTAATTTAATCCATGGAATATTTTGTTTAGGAAAACAAATCTATCAATTTTAATGACTCTATTATTTTATTATTTTATTATTATTTAAAATAATTACTTTGTACTTATCTGTTACAAATGACAACACTATTAATCATTGTAAAGAAATAACATAAAGTTGATAGATAAAAATATTAAATTGTTTTGTAAACGTAAAGATTAAATAATTTTAAATGAACAAAAATTTGATAATGAATTATTATGAATTATTATAGTCATAAGTAAAACAAAACATAATATAAAATTTTTTACTTGCAGAAATTTGTGGTTTCATATTTTTTGAATAATTAGTCACCGTTACAATTATGGTCTGTATAGAAAATTGAAAAGTAAAAAGTTTTAAAGTAAAAGCAAAAGTATTATTCATAGAAAACTCTGGAGAATATCCTCAGACTTTCTCTAATCAATTACATGCTAGCTATGAAAAGAAAAAACTGAATTATCTGACACCTCCAATACTTATTCAACACTACAGTAGTCTGCGAATTTCTCATGCATTAATTTTACTTCAAAGATAATTTTATGTTCCATTATTCTTTGTAACATATAAATAAGAAGTCATGCATATCAATAACGATTCTTTCCTCAAATTTTAGAAAATTTTAAAGTATAAACAAATATAATTCGAAAATTGCATCATAATTAACTTGTTAATCAGTTCAACGAGTTAATTCGTCACACTACTTTGAGTACAACAATTCCTTTCATTTTAAAGAACGAATTAATTACTAGATTGCGGATTTCCGTGAAAATTTATACTTTTATGAAAATACATTTAAAAATAGAATTTAGGTAGTACATATTATAATTTTAAATTTAGATAGTAAATATTATAACAACTATTATATATATATTGAACATTATAGTTTAGAAATGACACAACTTTTGAAAAGAAATGGCACAACGTTCATTATATTGTATTGTACTGAAACTCTGTAAAAATAACAACAAAAATGTCGATTGATTAAAAATTTTTTAAATATAATAACTGTAAACATGATATCTTTGATTGATGAAAACTCATTGCAAATAAAACATCAAATAAAATGAAGATTCTGTGCCTCTGTACTTCTGTATTGTGTATTTTTATGTATCGTGTATATTACTTTGATAGTATGATACGTTTCCTGATATTTACATTTATCTGATTAAATAAAATCAGTCTGGAAAATGCCATAGTCTTCTTGAAGTTTTTATATTCATGATCGTTAGACATGATTGTCTACAAGTCATGTTTACCGTTACCGTGACGTTATCTAACAATTGCTCTGACAATAATTCACCGCGTATTCGACTGTCTTATGCGAGATAAACGTTGAGTAATTAATTCCTCAAAAAGACGTAACGAAAGATGTTGAAACATCATATAGTTGAGAATAACTATAAATAATTAAAATGTGAATTAATCATTTTTAACAATTTAATAATTTATTCGTAAAGAAATTAAGAATGACATAAAGTCTATTAATCTATCAACCGTCGCTTAATGTTATTTAATTATAAAAATTCATCAAAAGAGGAGCACAATTTTTATACATTAAATTCTATTTTTTATCAAGAAAAATTTAACTAATAGATCCTACATTTTATATTATGTTAGAAAATAAAAATTAATGAGAAATTATTCAAAGGATATTGAAAATTTAACTTTGAAAATTTCAAGAAATATACTGTGTATATGACCTTACTGTATTAGATTAGAGAACAAAATTTCAATAAATAGTTTATTGACTATTTTTTTTTAAACTGATATTTCAAGGAATAAACGAACCTTATTATTACATGATACTATATTAAAAGAAAATTGAAGCAAATAATTTGGGGTATTAGTTTTCAAAAAATATTTACATATCATATGTATATTAGAAAATGATGTTTCGATAAATAATTTATTAACTATTTAGAGGATATTGATTCAATCAATTCTCTACTGAGCTGATCTCTACATTTCCGTATTATTTTCTTTCATCTACGAATGTATAAATTTGCTATTTATTTAAATACTCCTATTTAAAATGGTTTATAAGTGAATATAGAGAGAAATAGGTCACGATATAAAAGGAAAAACGTTACATTTTCTAATTTCGTAAATGTTAATTGTACACAGTACAATTAAATAGAGTCTTGAATACTGTAAACAAATATGGTATAAAACTAGTCCCTAATTAAGCGTAAATAATTTGAACATAATTATTGGAAATATGTGACGCGAGATGGTTCACACATACCAGCAGCGTCTTTTCACTGCCCAATGAATGGAGTGCTTAGCTAAGCACACTGTGGCGAGAGTACGATGGGAAGAGGCGTGAATGAGCGTAGAGCTACGATTTCAACGCTTCCTAATTTAATTAAGAACTGGCCAACCGGTGGGTTATGACGTCTCTTAGCGCATTCTTCGGGGCGTGTGCCGACAGCTGATAGTTTTCTCTGCATTCTTCGGTCTCCACAAAAGAGAGAGATAAAGAAGCCGAAGAAAAAGGAGGAAAAAAGGAAAGAAAGAGAAACAGAAAGAGACCAAGTGCATATTTGTAGAAATAACTCGGAATATTATCGAATGATCATAAACGAGCAAGTTATTTTCGTTGAAACTCACGGTATAAATCCCGAATGCGATCCATCGAGGCCTGTGACCCCTTCCTGCGTAATAAGACAGGACCACCGATACGAACAGTTGCGAGATATCGTTACCTACAGAGATAAGACCTAGAAAGAAAGAAAGAAAAAAAATGCATGTTTAACGTTCTCGATCGACAGAAATAATTAAATTGCCTGGCTTTTATTGATTCATGATATAAAGTACAAACACTTCGGCGCATACTTCTACGTTTAATAACTTCTCACAAGTGATGGATCATCCGCTATCGTTCGTTATCGATCAACAGAGACGAATCGTTTTGTTACTTTATATTGTATCATGATACTTGAAAGTCTATAATTACTTTTTTAGGTGAATTCGACTATTTAACCTAAGATTTTACAATATAAAGGTTTCACGCTAGTAAAGCTGGATTAATAAAATTCGGGATATTTATCTTTTATATCTAATAACATCAATATTTTTAATAGTTTTACATTGATATTAACGAAACTGCTTTATATTGTATTGTAATATCTGACAATGTATAGTTGCCTTACTGAAATGTATAATTACCTTTTAAATAAAATAGATGATTTATTGTAAGATTTTACAACGTCTTAATAAAATTTTCATCGCAAATTAACATTTTGTATCAATATATTGATATTAAAGCGACATAAATTAGTCTGTTTTCGATCGTTGTGTATATAGTATCAAACTTTTAATGTCTTACCTTAATTAATTGTAAAGCAAGGGCTTAAGATGTGTTATTAGCACATAAAATTATTTTTAAAAAAAGTGATTTTTAATCTTTCTAATCTAAATAATATTCGAGTCTGTTGTAGGTAACTACAATAATAGTTGTTAAATACCAATACTTTAGTTATTTAATTTTATCTTTTACCAATTAATTCTACCAATACTTTAGTTATCTAATTCCATCTTGTATATTTCTCCATAATCGAGAGTCAATCAAAATTCAATTAAATTGAAAATACCAAAATGAAATAATTTAATACTAAATTATTATAACGATCCTGACTAACTAACACACTACCTAAACATTTCGTTGCGCAGATTGTAAGTCAAGAATTTCACGCCTAAATTCGATTAGAACATTTACACGCTTGCATGTATTCTACGTATTCTATTATACAATCGTTCAATTAACAGTCTATAGTAGCACATATGTACAACGAAATGGTAGTTGTGCAATATTAAGAAGCCTACGTTACGCCGTCTGCTTCAAAACTCACCTGTCGTCTTCGAAGGTATCTTGAACCTTTTCTCGATAGTCGTAATGGTGCCGTTGAAATACGCGTAACTCGCCGAAAATATACATCCAAGCACACCGTAGAGAAACACATAAGCCTTTTTATTGGCGAATCTTTGCAACGTCGGGCTCCGTATACACCAGATGCCGCAGGATGTTTCGTCGGTGATCGGTAAATCTTTGAAGACGTCCTCGAGGCCCCTGGAGCTCGGAGTGGTGGGCGTCGTTGGGGTGGTCGGCGGCGTGGACGGCACTCTCAACAGCTTCAGGCTCTCCGGCCCGTTCTTCTCATGGTTGCTCGTGTTATTTTTCATATTGGTGGACGGCGAGGTTGATTACCTAGCAAACAACGCCACTTTGCAGCTTCGAGATCGCTCTGACCTCAATCGCTGAACGCACGTTTTCGATCGACGTCCGCTGCCCTCGCGGCCCTTGGCATCGCTTTTCTTCCTTCGACACCCTCCTCGGCGCTTCTCGTTCGGCTCACTCGGCTTTTACTTGACTTTTGCCACGGTCACGTGTCCTCCATGTTTCAGCAACGCGCGGTTAAAGTTGATCGTGCGTCGATCCGATTTTCCCACACAATCGAGATGTGTTATCGACCTTTACCTGAAGATATACATGATCTGATTAGAAATCAGAGCCGGTTTGTTTGAACGAGATTACGAATAGACTTTCATTCTCACGGAGAACCTTATTATTACACACGAGGACCATAGAAATGACCATCGCGCCGGTGCGTTACATGTTACATTGGCGTTTTGTGAAACATCGTGAAGTTTGATAAGCGATAATAGAAACAAATGGCTGACGGAAACTGATATTCGGGATTATGGAAATATGCACGAAGGACTAAAGTCTAAAACATTGTGGATATAATTGAATGACTAATATTAAATACTATTAAAAAAAAAGTAAAACTATTGTTATTTGTTTATCTTTAATAACAAAATAATTATTTAGACTCGTGTATGGTTTATAACTTAGAGAATATTTTAATGTAATTGATAAAAATTAAATCTATTAAATAACTTAAATAACACTCCTTGAACGTGTGTTCACTTTTTATAATAAAACAATTATTTAGGATCGTGCCTTATAACTCAAACAATATTTGTTTTAATTTAAATGTGATTAATGAAAATTAAATTTACAAATAATAAAAGTAACTTCTTGAACGTGTATTTATTTTTTATAGAAAAACAATTATTTTGTAAAAATAATTTTACATTGTTTTAATCTTAGGATATCTTCCATCTTGTATAAAATATTATTTAATTTTTCTAGTTTTGAACAAATATGGTACTTGTTCTAAAACTTGCGAATGAAAATGTATATCCTCTTTTCATAATCATATTTATCATTTTAAAAAAATTAATAAAATTGCGAAGCTTAATTGCTTTCAATATTTCAGAAATAAATGACACGTACAAATGAATACGTACTACCACAAAAATAAATACACAATACCTTTGACTGATACCGAAATAAACGAACGAACAATTAAGAACGTGCCAAAAGAACTACATGTCAAACTCGATAATTACTACTTAATCTTACTAATTAATCCAAGGGAATAAAAGCTATCACAAAATTCACTCACACCTACCGTAAAGTAAAAAATGATTTCTACATCGAAGCGGAAACAATCGATGATAACCGTTGGACCAATTAAGTGAAACTAGCCACCAAAAGTGAAAGTCGAAAATTCGAATCCCACTGTGGCGGTGGTCTCGTTTCACGAAGCAGTGTGCGACACGATTCTAGCAAAAAAAAAAAAAAAGAATCGGAATGTTATGTCCGAAAACGAACGATATTCTTGGCCAACTGAAATTGTCTTCTAAGAGCGACACAGATGAAACCGGTGTACGGAATCTCCTGCGGATCCCCACTTTTCGATCCCGAAGAACCGATCGGACGACAGAGGATCACGACGCGAAGAACTGTGATGCATCTATGGTTCTTCGGTTCGCGTTGCTGTTATCAAGCGAGGGCACGTTTTCTACCTCTCTTGCAATCATTTCGTGTCTCCTTCCCCTCTAATTCCCGTGCTCTGTCTAACTCTGCTCCCTTTCTCTCTCTCTCACACACACACGCACACACACACACACTCTCTCTCTCTCTCTGTCGCGCATATACGACTTCTCTTTCTTCGTCTATTTGTATTCCTCTCCATTGCTCAAACATCCAGAAGAATTTACTTGTACCCGACTCCATTCTGTAAGATCTACTTTTGATAATTTGTATTTGCGGAGACGTATCAACCTTACAAGAATGGTAAGCTACTTGAAGTTTGATTCGATGTATGCGGAACAGTTACGAGGAATAGCTGAGAGAAAAGTTTGTAATTAGACGTGTGTATGTCCATACGTTTGTAGGGAATTGAAAATTGTAGAAATGCATGTAGTATGCAAAGATATGTAAAATATCCAAAGTGCAGAACTAATTATAATATGTAATTAATATGAATGTGATGGCTGTTGATTAACTTCAGAAATCTATAGTTATAATATAATATGTAATAATTCTATATCTAATAGTACTTGTTGTAAAGTGTAACGGATGAAGTTAATTACACTACTGTTTAAATTCCATTGTCTTGATTAACTTTCAAAAAAAATGTAAAACTGCATGAACGATCATAATTTATTTGTAACTTTACATTAATAAAATTAGTACGTCTTTAACGTGAAACGTTTGAAGAATTGTGTGTCTCCTTTTTTTGTGAATCGTTACTGATGAATGTGAGATATAGTTACTATCATTTATTAAGATTGCAATTTCTCTGCAGAAAAGTTTTGAAAACATTTTATTAAAGTACTTTATCAAACAACATATTTAAAGTACTTTGTTAAACAATATATTTTACTTTTTTATAAGTACCAATATATTAATACTAAATATTAAATATTAAAGCATTAAAAAAATATCAAAAAATGTTACAAGCATGAAATTTCTTATAAAAATCATTAAAATACTTCAATCTACTAAAAAGCTACTTAGGATAATACAATAATAAGATAGCAACAAACGAAAAGATAGTAAATAGTATAAAATAAACACTACAACATGATAAAGAACACTGATGGAAAAAAGGATTAAGTAATTACAATAAACAAATCAATCGATAAAGAAAAGCACCAACATCAACTCTTGCATGCATGTCTATTGACAATTATGTTAATATAAACGCACATTAAGCAAAATTGACTTCAATCAATTCATAAATATCACCATGGAAAATGACAAATTGTATTATTATTCGCGGAATGTTTCGTTGCAATTCTGTCAGGAGATGTGTAATTCTTTGTAGGAAGGATATTCCCCAACTAGGACTGGGTCGAAACATGTAGATCTCAGTAAGATAGACGAGGTCTCGGCTTTGGGTATGGTGTCTATGTTCGTTTCTAGTCAACCTCCGGGAGCAGAGGCTCACATTGTGAATCCATTATGATTTAATAGAGTCGACGTGATGTACACACACGCGCACACTACGCGGCTGGTAAACTCTTCCGTCTATTCCCGCGCATTGCTAATGGCACACACCAAACAGCTATACCGCTAATAGCTGGTGGTTAATTGCTGAAATTTAATTTTCCATCGAAGAATGGATCGGCCTGCGACCGATGTGTCGTCATAGTTGTTCTCGACCTCGGTATACTTTGACATTTTCCACGTTTTTTTTCCTTTTGCATTTTGTATTCAATATAATGATGCGTATATTGTACTATATAATAATCATAATCGTACGATGAAAACAAAGAAGTACAATTATATCTTGGTGACTAGACTATGGATTATCGTGCAAGTTAATATTTTTATAAACGCAATTAAAGAAATAGTTTA